TCCATTCTGATACAGCAGCCTCTTTGCTGGGTCTAGCTGATCTGCTGCAGCGAGCGCCAGGCGACAGCTGGTGTCTGCCCCAACAGTGCTCATTTCAGGACTGGGGCTGTAATAACTTTCAGGAGCTCGCCAGGCTATACCATGCTATTTAAATGTTCTAGAAAAGGTGAGGGCGTGTCCTTAATTCAACTCTACTGAAGCTCTGAAAAGGTTTGGATTGGATTTGTTTTGAGGCAGGAGGGGAATGCTCATGGTGACTCATTGTATTGCCTCCCTTCCCCCCCAGTTCCTAATTTGAACCTTTTTACACGAAAACACCATTCTTTGTTTATCGGGGTCACTGCAGTAGAATATGAATTCAGCGGCACAGCCAGGAAAATGGATAGACCAATTAACAGGATGTAAGTCGAATCAGTGGCTCTTCAAACAAACAAACAAGCCCCTGCCCCAAATCTACTGCAACTAATAAAGAAGTACTAAAATGCAATTTAGCAAACTCTAAGGCCGTAGGAATTTACAGGCTGGCTCCAACCCCAGGCCCATCTAGTCTGTGACCCATGGTCAGTACTGGGTGGTCCAGAGGAAGATGTCAGAGCCCTGCAGGAGGCAGAAGTGGGATAATGTGTGTCCCACAAAGGTCTCATTCTGTCTCTGCTGTGTTCTTATTCCTATCCTATCCGCTGTCTTTAATTGCCTGTTGGCATCTGGGCTCCAGCCATGTCTGACTCTCGACATGCTGCACTCTTATGCTGAACTTCTATAGCAATATTTTCAGGCCCTCTTTTTGGTGCATGCTAGACTAATGACAGATCCCTCGTAAAATATTGGCAGATCCTCAGCTGGTGTAAATCTGTATAGCTCTGTCAAAGTCTGTGTTGGCTCTAACAACAGTCTGACATGGAGCGTCCAATTCCGGCTAGAGTTTTGGATCCATGTAATCCCATGACAGATGGATTCAGACAGAAGCAGAATAATGGGCCATTTTTCATCCACGATGCAACTGCATGAGTGTCAGTGATGTTGTCAATATGGCTGTGTAAAGTACACACATCTTGCTGTTTCCAAATATTTTAACAAACTCATGGATGAGGCAATATTGAAGTTCTTCACTTGATTGGACGGAGGTGGGTGTTCAATACTGTCCTAGTTTTTGCTCTTACCACATGTGCCAGCTGTTGGCTTAAAGTTTTAAAATACTCCGCCAGGAAGATTAAGTAGCACAGCCGGCTCTGCTTCTGTGTCTTCCTTGATGCCCATGACAACTGACTGAGCGACACAATGAGTGGTTTCCAGCAGCTGGCTATTTCCTGTGTATCTTCCTCCATTGGTAATAAATTTACTTCTTGTTACTGGACTGAAAAATTTGGCATTAATAACAGTTCTGGGTGGCCAATTGTTCCCTCTTTCCCTGCTGGGTTAGTCTATTCTAGCTATTCTTTTTGTCTAAGCTTTATTCAAGTACCTCTCTTTTATCCTTTAATGTAGTGGTCCCACTGATCTGCATCAACATTATTAGTTATTTTGTGTTCACTCTCTTTTATACATTACTCGTAAGTTCTCTGTGAGCTGTGTTTGTGCTTTTGTACACACAAATGAATCATCCTTTGATAACCATCTGTGGTACTGAAGTTCGTTCTTCCTGTCAAACAGGGCATGCTTAAACTGAGTTTCAAGCTATATGAGCAAAAGTTGACAGTCGGTTGGCTGCATGCTTCTAAAACATGGGAAGATGTAGAGTTTATTTTTTAAATTATGATGCTTTAGTGTGTACAAAAAGCATCATGCCATAATTTATGGAATAGGTGCAATGGCAGTCAAAAAAGCCAAACTATGTTAGGATGCATAAGGAATAAGATAGAAAATAATACTGAAAATACAATATATTGCAGTGGAATATTATGTTCATTTCAGATCACTTGTCTAAAAAGGAAATAGAAGAAATAGTAGGGATGTGGAGACAGGCCACAAGAATGAAGACTAGGTATGGAAAAACATTCATGAGAAAATAATTTGAAAAGATGTGGATAAGAGAGGCTATCTTAATGGAATAGAAAAGGTAGGTCAGGCACTTCTTTTCAATCTTTCTTGTAAGAACAATGAGATTTTCAATTAAACGGAAATGCTACATACTTAAAACTGATCAGGTGAAATACTGCTTCACACAGTGCATAAGTAGCCTGTGGAATTCATTGCCACAACACACCACTGAGGCCAAGAACTTGACAGGGCTCAGGAAGGGAGATGATATTTATACTGATATCAGAAATATATAGAGTTATAACAATAAGGGTTGAAATTGGGGACAAACCAACAACAACAACAAAACCTTGTAAACTCTCATACTTCCTGGCGTAAGAGAAATGCCTAAGGGGGAAGTTAGAAAGAATCTTGGCCTTTGGGGTGGTCTACTGTAATATTTCTAGCAGCTGCCTCTGAAACATCTGGGATTGGCTTCTGTCAGAGAGAGGATACTGGACTAGGTGCGCCACCAGTCTGATCCAACAGGGCTATTTCTATTTTCGCATTTTAACATGACTATCAAGAAGCGGCCTCATCAGAGACCACTGTGGTAGGTATGAGGGATACTGTAGTTGCATGTGGTATGGCTGGCCTAGAGGAGGGATTAAACATCATGCTGATATGAGATCAGGTGATTTGTTATTGTAAGTCTTGGAGCCAAAATGTACTGTCAGATCACGGGAGTGGGGGCTGTTTTCAGTGCTAACATCTCAAGATCTACTGAAACAGATGTGGTATAGCATTGGGAAGCTGGGAACGCAACTTCCGAAGAGTCAAATATTTCCAGTCTTGGCAGGAAATGTGGAATCAGCCCTTCAAGCTGAGCACTCTGGACTTGATCCAGCAAACCACTTAAGCACTTGGTTGACTTTAAGCATGTGACTTGTCTCATTGAAGTCAATGGGATTTACTCGCTTGCTTAAAGTTAAGCGTGTGCTTAATGGCTTTGCCAGATCAGAGTGTTCAGGATCGAGCCCTAAATCAAGGGAAATTCTTGACTGCAGTCCTTCTAATAGTGGCACTGGTTCTCATTGTTACAGAGCATCTCTTCCTTTCATACATTCTGCCCCCCAAATATTTGGGGAGTGGATTCAGTAGGACTTCTGGAAAGACAAGCAGCCTGGAAATTCAGGTGGAGACTGAGACTGGCATGCAAAACTGAACAAACTAGCAATTAACACAGCTGTGCAGGCAGTTAAATGGACTGTAACTTTTTCCTGCATATGTGCGTGTGCACTAATGCGCACTTCTTTTTTTGGTATGGTGTCCAAAAACTTGGCAACAGGCTTCCATTTGGGGAGGCAATGTCAGTAGTTTTCCTTTAGACAATAACCTTAGTTGCAATGCACAAAAGAGCAAGTCCTCAGACAGATTTGGTAGCTGTTGATTGTAGATTTAGACTGTTTTACCAGAGAGTCCTCTCAAGAATAGTTTATTCCCTCCTCAGGCAAATGGATCTTAGCCATCAAGCCCCTGCAGCTGCTTGACAGCAAGCTGTAGGATCTCATTCACAAGGTTACACCCAAACTGAGGATGCTGATCCATATCCTCATGGACTTTGGAGAAGTTTGGATTTATTTCTGAACTTTGCAACTGATCTCCAGCACTGTCATTAAAGATTATGAATAGGGAAATGTGTATAGAAAAATGCCACTGCTTAACATTTTTCATTGTCTCCACCTGGTAACAGCATCTTCTTCTTTTTTTGCATCGCGCTTTGTGCACAGTTTTGTGCTTGAAGAATTATAGAGGTTTTTAAAACAGGGAAGATTTGTACCGGCTTATAAGTTACTTTTGGTCATACATAATGAATGAGCAAATCAATATATTCCTGGTTCTTTTTATGTCCTGTAAAACATGGAATGGGGAGCAGGGGTGAAGCATCCCAAATCTTTGCTGACTTGACTATTGATTTTTAAATAAGTAAGTTCCTTGATCTTTCTTTGTTCTTGTTGCATTTTTGAAAGGTTTCTTTTTACAGTGACGTACTGGAAAAACTTAACATCTAAAATATAGCAAAAAATAATTAACAGCAACATATATCAGGGAAATGGGAAGGAAAAACACCACAGAGAAACATCAACAATAAATAAAAAATAATGAAGTCCAGCAAACTATCATAAAATAATTGTTAGGAGCACAGTGAGATACTGTATCTGAACAGATCAGTGAGTTTGGGACTTTGATTTTATTATTTGCGTTTTGAAGCCAGCTGGCATATTAGCTAAAACGTCTGGCATGTTTCTTTCCTCCTCTGAAGTATTTCTACAGTCACAACATTCACTAAGGCAGGGAATCACTGCATAGAAAGATGATCAGTTTCATACTAATTGAAAAGTTCTCCTCCAGCCTGCAGACAAGAAGGGAATGATCTGGCTCTTAGTTTGTCATACATTTTAGGCAGGGATCTGCAAAAGTGCTCAGCGTTGGCCCAACTTCCAGTAAGATCAGTGAGAACAGAATTAGCCCACTGCTGGGTAGTTTTGAAAATTCTACTCTGAGTTTTCCACCCTTAAAAACAACAAAAAACCATGTACTTGCTACCTGCCCTATGGAGTGCCCATGGGCTGTGGTGCTGACTGTGCAGCTGCTGGGTTAGTCAGAGTCCCCTGTCTATTTAGGCTCTGTGTATGATACTATGGTTTTTTCCTAAGAAACTCCAGACTTATTCAAAATGTTCTTTTGTTTGCTAGCGAAACATGCTAAGATGGAAGACCTGAGGAAAGAGGGTTATGCAAAATGTCAGTACTTCAGAATGGAATATAACAATTCTCTGTGTGGAGCAGAATTTTTTTTTCAAAAATCTTATCTAATTTATAATTTTATTGTAATTGTAGATATAGGGGATCTGGCATGAGTTTTTAAAAAACACAGTGCCTGAAAATCTAGGGCTTAAAAGAGAAGTCTGGGGAATCTGTTGTTACTTAAAACATATGGAACTTGATCCTACCAGGTGCTGAGTAGAGCTGGTTGGAAAACAGATTTTGTGTCCTGCAAAAAATTTCAAGATTTAAAAAAGAAATCCTGAATTGGACTGAAGCTCCAAAATTTTGAAATTTTTCTTGAAATGAAAATCTGAAAAATAATTTTGATCCTTTTTTATTTTAGTATTTTTTCAATATAAAATAAAGTAAATTGTTAAACAAAAAGTTGAAATGTTTCATTCTGAAAATGTCAAAATGGGACATTTTGAAGCTTTCAAAACTTTTTTCCAATTTTTTTTAAAACAAAGTTTAGTAAAAATTGATACGATTTCACTAACAAAATCAGTTTAATCAAATGTCATTTTCCCACCGCTCTCCTGCCATCTTCAGCCTCAGTTTTTTTGTACACTGTAAATTTACTGAGGGAAGGATGGCCTATTTAATAAAGCTGGTTGGAAAATGTCTTTTTTTCCCCTATGGAAAATGTAGCTGATAATTAACTAACAAATAAACATTGTTTTTGTCAAAATTTTCAGTGAAAAATTTCTCCTTTTCCTCAAAAAATGAAAACCTCAGTGTTTTCCGACATAACATTTCATTTCTGAGGTTTTCAATTTTCTGATAATCAGTTTTTGAGGAAATCAGACACTTTCCAGAAACCTTTTCATTTGATTGAAAACCCATTTTTTGACAAAAAAACCCCAAACAAACAAAACCCTCCAGTTTTAATGGAAAAGTTTCAACCAGCTCATTTCTTTGCACAGTGGGACTTGGAGCTGAAAAGCTTTACTGTCATTCTGCATTAAAATCCTACCACCTAGCTCTTATATAGCACTTTTACTTCAGTAGATCTCAGCGTACTTTACAAAGGAGGTCAGTATTATTATCCCCAGTTTACAGATGGTGAAACTGAGGCGCATGGAAGCCCAATAAAAATGGTTCGTTCTATACTTAAAAATATATACGGTTTTTAAAATTAGTATCTCAAAATTCTCCTTAAAAATTTGGTTCCATGGCATTTCTCCATGTTCTCCTGTTGTGAGTTAGATTCACCCCTCAGCCAGGGTGATCAGACATCCTGATTTTAGCGAGGCTGTCCTGATATTTGGGGTTTTGTCTGAGAGATCCAGCTATACCCTCCCCACCCACCCCCGAAAAAAAAGTGTCCCGATTTTTCACACTCGCTTTCTGGTCTCCCACCCTCAGCCCTCATTTCTAATGAAACAGAAGTCAAAGTATTTGGGGAATTTAGTACCCCTCAATCCAGCCCTCTTGTCGGTTGTGCTTGTCTCTCTGCTGTGTTCCTTTTTGGCAGTTTGTCCTGTGAGTCTTGATTATCGTATTGTGGTTTCTTTTTTACAGTATGTCCAGGCCTTATGTCAATCTATTTTTTCCCTCCAGCCAGTTGTGGACCATTGCCCAAGCATAACTTCTTCTTCTTCTTCTTTTAAAGTTGTGTGAACAATGGGATCTCAAGCCAACCGCCTCTGTCTGTCTCCTGTGCTGTTTCCTGTTAAGAGTTGAAAAGCAGAACAATATTTGAAGGTTGTGCTTTCAAATCAGGCTCTTGTTTTCCTCTGTGCCTGCTCTGATAGACTCCTGTGATGTACATTTTAGTCTATGTTCATGTACAGCGAATGAGAAGTCAGAGTTTTATTTACAGAAATATGGGCTGCATCTGTTAATTTATTGCTTGATGAAAAACCATTGCTTTGCTGTAGACTTACATGCTCATAGGGGCTGAAGCTAGGGATACAGCGGGTGCTGGCTTGAAGTGGATTCCATTTTTTAACGGGTTTACAGTTTGGTTCAATGGCTCTCAGCACCGTCGCTACACAAATTGTTCCAGCACCCCTGTACATGCTGGATTTTCACATCTGCATTTCTGTACATCTTGGGCTGAGTACTGTATATTGCTACTGACTTATAAAACAGCCAGTAAACCCTGACCACAAAGCTTTTGAGATCATTATATGGCACGCAAAGGTTTAGCTGCAACATTCAACTGCTATTTTAAGTCAAGAAATGGATTTGCACATCATAAAACAGATTTATAAATAGCACAGTTGATTTATAAATCAGACTAATAAGTACTTCGTAAAGATTTAGTTTATAAATCCTCAGGTTGCAGTTTGAGATATGTTGACTGATTTATATGAACCAAGACTTTGAAGTTATGCTATTCTGCTTGTTTATAAGTCCTGCTCTCCTATTTAATTCCTAAGTTTTGATTTATAAGTCCTATTTAGGTTTTATTGCTTAATTTTTATTATTGCCCTCTGCAATATAAAATTTTATATATATAAAAAATTTTATATATATAAAAAGCTGTACCGTATGGCATTTTTCCTTCAGTTTTCTTTCTTGCACTCCATTAATGAGAATTTGCTGCACTCTGAGCAGGTTTCCAAGGTTACTCTTAGGTTTTATTGTGCTCTGAAATCTTCCTCCCTGCTTGTTCAGTCTTCTTTTTTCCTTCTATTTCACCAAATTAACCTAGCCACAGACTGCAGGTTTTAGAGCCTGACCCAAAGCCCATCAAAGTCAGAGGGAATCTTTTCACTGACATCAATGGTCTTTGGATCAAGCCCATACTACCATACATACCACCAGATATGCTCACACATTAAACAAGCCTTTGCTTTTCTCTGTAACTTTCTTACATGCTCCAGATGCAACGGACATGGGTGGAGTCAGGGTACGAAATAAGATAACTAGAACTCAGTGGAGAGATCCATGTTAGAGGAGCGGGGAAATCATTTTTTCAGAACTTCTAGGGCTATACTTGTAAATCCTTCATTAAGCAAATAGCCCTATAGGCAGCAATCAGTCTCCCTGCCTCAGTAAGGATGGCTCACATGAGCAACTTTAGCAGAAATTGGTGAACAATGAAATGTTTGGACTTTCGGTCTAGAAAAAATTGTGATTTTTTTTAAATGAAATTTTGAGAACTTTTAGACATTTTTGTGCATCACAAATTTATTGCCTAGGAAAATTTGACTGTATTTACTACTGTCTCTGTTTACTTCCTCTCAGCACCTAGACCCATCACTTCCTGTTTTTTCTTGTAAACATTTTGAATGTATAAATGTTACTAACTATATCTAGACTCCAGTAATTAAACCATGGTCTCTTCTAATACACCTATCAATATATTTAAAGACTCCAAATTAAAGTCTATTATCATGGACAACAGTTTCAAGAGTTCAGAAAATTTTACCAAAAATTGTGTCTCAATAGAGGGATAGGAGAACACGAAGAGCTTCCAAAAGAAACAGCAACAAAAATCCCCAGCACAATCACTGTTTTTCCTAATGCTCAAAATTCCTTATTATCTAAAATTCTTAAAAGTTGTTTTCATTTAATATAATTTGCCATTCCTTCCAACTTAGGGGTTAAAATAGTGTTTTCTCTAGTGCAAAAGAAAAGAAACTCGGTGGACTCAACTTCATAGTTGAGAATGTCACAAGAATGAGACAGTGATTGTATTCTGTTGTATTTCAACCCAGTTTAGGTTTCCCAATATTAAAATTTAAGAACTTGAGTTTGATTCTGGCCAGGACTTGCAAACATGCTTAATTTTTGCACATTAGCTGGAAGAACAGTTTTAAGTGAGATATCAGCGCTGGACCTAGCAGCAAGCCATGAGCAGTAGATGTTTTTGTGCTGGATGGAAAATTCCCTCCAAATTCAGAGGTTACTGCAATAGTATGTTCTGAATCACCTGACCCTGACAGTAAATAATATGAGTGAGTATTTTTTCTTACAGTTGTTTAGAGGAGAATCTATTTTCTATGTAACAATAACCTGCTCAACAATACTCTAATACACATGTCAGTGCCCTTTTATACTCCAGCAGTGCTGGCTGGCTTCCAGAAAGGTGGCTACTCCTAGATCAGCTGTAAGGAGCTCAAACACTGAGGGGTCAGGATGGGGAGGGACTGCAGCCAGCTGGGAGGGACTGAGAGCCTGCGTACTTCAATGCCGCAGCCCACAGAAACAGGAGTGCAAGTGATAGGCCACAGGGTGGCAGTACCAGACTGTTCCATGAGGACCAACGCTGGCTGAGCAATCTGAGCACACGCACAGGGGACCTAGGAGAAGCAGGTAGCTGGTGCCTAAGCCTAATCAATGTACTTTGTATTTCAATGTCAGAATTGGAAGTGGGGCAGAGGCAGCCAAACTAAAGTGGTGGAGCTGGATTAAGTATGAGGGAGAAGGACTGAGGTGTTTCTTCTATTCCCAGATTGGGAAAGAAAACAAATTTTGATGTTAGGAGAGGTTGGCATCTACTTCCTCTTTTATACTTCAGTTTTTCAGCATTTCATACACAAGTAGAGTCAACAGATGGAGAACTCCAGCAAAAGAAGGGCATTCCCGCACATATGAGTCTGTGGTTTATTAAATTAACATTCCCTGATTTAAGAGCCTACTGTGTAACTATGGGGCAAAAGCTGCTCTCCACTATGATGGTCTAAACCCAAAGTAAATGCACTCCCTTCAATGGAATTAATCCTGATTTACACTTGTGTAAATCAGAGCAGTATTTGATCTCCAAATCCAGCTGAGCTGTGCTTACCACAGGATGTGGCACGGGATGGGAAGGTGGTTGTAGAAACTGATCTCGATGTTGACTGGGGACTGAAATGGCCCTTGTCATAACATCGAGCAGTCTGAGGGCTGTTCTAAGTTACACTGGCTAGAACAGTCCACAGGGGCCATTCCGCCAGCTAGAGGTGTTTGGAGCAAACTGTACACCTGCCACAGCCCCCTCCTTCCCTTGGTCTACTCCAGAGTGCCTTCCAGTTGGGTTGTTGTGATTTTATCGCAGTTAGTACTCTGCATTGTGGCCACAGCAACTGTGGTTCAAATTCTGCACCATAGTATCTCTTTATGGGGAATAACGGGTCAGGCGGTAATACTGCAGAAAAGGATCTGGGGGTTATCGTGGATCACACACTGAATATGAGTTGTCAATGTGATGGAGCTGCGAAAAAGGTTAATATCCTTTTGGGGTGTATTAACAGTGTCATACGTAAGACAGAGGAAGTCATTGTTCTGCTCCGCTCGGCACAGCGGAGGCCTCATCTGGAGTACTGTGTTCCGTTCTGGGGCCGCACTTGAGGAAAGATGAGGACACATTGGAAAGAGTCTAGGGGAGAGCAACAAAAATGACAGAAGGTTTTGGAAACTTGACTTTTATAAGGAAAGTTTTAAAAAACTGGGCATGTTGAGTCTTGAGAAAAGACTACTGAGGGGGCTCCCAATAACAGTCTTCACATATATTAAGGGCTGTTATAAAAAAAGGACGGTGATCAAATTGTTTTTTCATAGCCATTGAAGGTATGGGACAAGAAGTAATGGGCTTAATCTGCAACAAGGGAGATTGAGGTTAGATATTAGGGAAAAAATTCTGACTAGAAGGATAGTTAAGTATTGGAACCCCCATCTTGGGAGGTGGAGGTTTTAAGGACAGTTTAGACAAACATCTGTCAGGGATGATCTAGATGTCCTTGGTTCCACCTCAGCGCAGGGTGATGGATAGGTGACCTCTTGAGGTCCCTTCCAGCCCGACGCTTCTCTGATTCTATGCTGAGAACAGGAGAGTGTGTCACTAATGGTTTGCTAGTGATCTTCAGGGAGCTGATTCTCCCCTTGTGTCCAGCTGCTTTTGTAGATCATTGGCCAGACGGGACTATTGGGATCATCTAGTCTGACCTCCTCTATCATCATATAAGGGCAACTAAAATACATACAATATTGTCTTTATTTATTGCATGTCACCAGCTGCAGCAGTTGTCACAGGGAGCTTTTATGGCTGCAAGTGGGAGGGGAGGGAATGTGAGTGACTGTAAGTAGCAGCAGAAGGGGTCATTGGAATCCTGAATGAGGGTGAAGTGACCCATGAGCAAATCTCTCCATTAAAGTGTGGTCTACCCTATGGGAATAAATGTCAAACTTCCTATCTACATGTATTTCTTGTCTGTGAGAGCAGTCAGATGCCTTTGATGAGCCAAGCTGGGTGAGGTAATATATTTTATTGGACCGACTTCTATTGGTGGGTGAATTGGCCCAATAAAAGATATTCTCTCACCCACCTTCTTTCTCTCATATTCTGGGACCAACACGGCTACAACTACACTGCATATGGCAGGTGCCTTTGATGTTAGAGGTCAACACATGCGCGTCTTTCCCATTACTGCAAGACAAATGTGGGATATCACACCTCTCTTGCCACTATGTTGATGTTGTCTGACTGGCTATGGAACAGATGAGACGCCAGTTGATTGATTTACGGAGGGAAGGCTGCAGAGTGTCAGAACAAAGTGGAGTCAGCAGAGGGGATCTCAACTCCCAAAATCTGCAGCCACAGATTTCTATGGCTCCTGAAAAACAAAACAATCGGACAAAAACTGTGGCCTGATCCAGCAAAGCACTGAAATACAAGCTTTACTTAAAGCACTTGAGTCATCCCATTGCTAAAGCATATGCCTAAGGGCCCAATCCAGCCCCCACGGAGGTAATTGGAAAGACTCTTATGGAAGTTGGATCGGGCCCTGAGTGTTTTGCTGGATCAGGGTCCATGTGCATGATGGGCTATGTTCTTCCTAGCCTTTTCTCTGCCTCCATCCCTGCACATGCATCCTGATAAGGCTAATTTAATCTGAAAATACAACGGCTGAGCTCTAGCTGAGTGAGCAGCACCGGGAGCTAGAAAGAGGAATAAGATGCTACGGAGTGTGAGCAAGAGTGATGTAATCTGGTCCTGTTTATTTAGGGCTATGTCATGCCCTTGTCTTATTCAGGAACACCTCTGCCTGAATCTTGAGCCTGGTGCAGAGCACAGCACCCGTTTCCCGAATACTCCCCACAGTTTACAAGTGGGCAGGGAGGGGCCCCATCTCTTGCCACTTACACAAGGTGGGAAGTAATTTACTATTCCCCTGGAGCCAGAGCGGAGCTGGGGAGGAATTGTGTCTTGGACGTACTCCTAGGCTGGGACAGCTTACACACTGCCCATTGCTTAGGCATGTGCCAAAAGCGACAGCTATCCCTTCGGTGATAAACCTGTGAAGTCTATTCTGCCCTGCCTTCACTGAAATCACTGGGGCTGCACTGGCTGTGTGAGCCAGGTTAGGCCTGTTCTCTTCTGATTCCATCTTTCAACATCTGAGTAATTTGCTACTCAGCCCTGGAGCTGTTGTCAATAAAAGAAGCAGAGAAAAATGAAGTGTCAGTAACAAATGTGCCCTATCCATGAATTTATTGGCAGAGTGGCTGGCAAATCCTGTCTGCCAATTGTCAAGACTTGGAATAAAATACAATAGCTCAGTTTTCTGTACCCTCCTCCCAATGACGATGACAGATTGGCCCCATTATAGAGGTTACTTTATCCTTACCACTACAAGTTAAGGTCACAGAACAATTTTTTTCATAATGCCCCAGTTTTCAAATACTTATCATTCACCTTTGGGGCTGAAATTTCCCGTTTGATCTCTTCCATATGGTTTGAGCAAAATTCCATCACTTTTCTTTTGATCCATGAGAAGACTGGGCGAGGGAAGGAATACAATTTCCCCATTTATTTAAAAAAATAGTTTTAATGTGTGCTGTCTGGGGGACTAAGAGGGGAATGTGGTGGAATAATTGAAACAACCGAATCATTTAGATCCAGATCCTCAGCTGGTATATATTGAAATAGCTCCTTTGACTTCAGTGGAAGAACACTGATGCACCCCAGCTGGGGATAGGCCCCTTAAAATTTAAATTTGTGCATTTGGATTCCATCCACAGGAGCTTTGCAAGAGGCTCTATGCTGCTATATTGATGAAACTCACCCAATTCCATTGGCAGGGCAACCCATGCAGCCCCTCCAGTGTGTGCAAAGGAGAGCAGGATTTGGCCTACTTTCGTTCAAGATAATTTCTTTGCTCTAGAGCTGTATGTTTGTCTGCCTGACACATTGAAGTTCAAGCATTCACTTCTGTGCTATTGAGGATGTTACTAGTTTGACAGCAGTCTATAATTACCAGGTGTCATGCAACGTCAGTGACAGCTACAGCAGCATCAGAATCCAGGGATCACTGAATTCATGAACCGCTCCTAGGTATCTCAGAAGTAAAATGACTAAGACCCTGGAAACACTTATGAATGTGATCAACTTAAAGCATTTGAATAGTGTCACTGAAGTCAATAGAACTACAGATGAGCTTAAAGTTTAGTCCCTACATAAGCATTTGTAGGATTGAAGGCTTTAATGTTAATTTGCTTGTGCCTTCTGTAACTCTTCGCACAATACAATGCATCCGTATTTCTGGAATTTTAAAAAATCTCTGAGTAAAGTGTTTCAGTTGCTGGTGAACACTGATTACACTAAAGGACTTATAGATATGGAATTAAGCTTTTACTGGGCGTGATTGTTTTTCAGTGGCAAGCTTGTCAAGTCTTTCATTTAATGTGTTGATTACAAGTGACTCTCCTTTCCACATCCGGATCCATCAAAGCCTCATACTCAAAAAATAACATCGGTGCTGATTATCTGGAAATGAGAAAGAGGATACTGCCTTGCTGGTCCTAGTACAGTATCTCCCATCAACATTCAATACACTTTACCACAAGATGCACAAATTATTCCATGGTTTCTTGAGAGAATGAAATGGTCGTGGTGGTAATGGTGGGATTCCCAGTGATGGTGGGGGGCTTTATAACCTTTAGCCCAGAGGTTAGGGTACTTATCCGGTATCTGGGAGACCCCAATTCAATTCTCCCCTACCTGATGAGCAGAAGGGATTTGAACAGAAGTCTTTCCCCCCCCTCGCCCCCCTCCATCCACCCACTCACATGTTTGCCCGAACGTCCCCTCTTCCCTCAGGCATTTTGTGTGGAGTTAGTCGGCCTCTGAGCACACCTACTGGATTAGGCCCTGCACGCAAGTCAGGCAGAGGAGTGACTGTCTTCCCCTGGATTGTGGATCGCAGGCAGGAGATAGGTGTCTGGATGTCTAGAGGGAGGCAGCAGTGTGCATGCCCAGAGGCAGTGCCTAGGGGAACCTTTACAGTAAAAGCTTAGACACCAAGGGAGTTTGGATGCCTACAGGTTTAGGTGGCAGCCGAGTGGGGCTTTGGCGAAGTGCCTAAGTCCCTTTGCAGATCTGGTCTAGAGATTATACTTGTCTGGTTCCTCCCCCTCCCCCTTGTAATATGGTATCCTACCCCTTTAAATGCCTGGAAGCCTGGGGCCAGTCAGATCTATTCGTTAACTCCATGCTGTTCCACCTGTGCCGGGTCTGGGACTTAAAAGGAGGAAAGAATCATGTGCTGGCTGGAAAGGAGAGCCTGAGGCAGAGGGGTCTGTGGCAGATCCCAGGCAGGAAGGCCTGGGAGTGGCTGCTCAGGAAAGTGCAGGGAGCCTCACCTAATGGAGCCTAGGAGGGGCTGAAGAGAGAGCTGGAAAGGAGCCTGGGAATGGGGAAAGCAGAGCCCGGTGTGGGGGAGGAGGCAGAGAGTGTCTGAAATTAGAGGGGAGAAACCTCTCAGGCAGGAAGGGCTGGGCCTAGCTGGAGACTGGGATAAAGCTTGGCTGGAAGTCCTGTCATAGTCACGGCATTGAGCTACCACAGCAGCCTGAAGGCGTTGCTCGCTGTCTGGAGGCAGAGCTGCTGCAATGCCGGGGGTGCTCTGGGACGGTGAGTTTTGTAACACCTTGCTGCTTCATTTCTTTGTAACGTAAATGTATGTCTAGTTTTAAATTTGACTACTGAACAATTCTGCAAAGGCACGCCTGGGGAGTCTGTCTGGGAGTTCCAGTGCGGCCAAGTGACTTAGGCACCCAACACCCATCAAAGTCTGACCTCTGGACGCCCATGGTTTTGTAGGCATAGGTTGGGCTTTGAAGATTGCTGATTTATACAGTTCATGCCTATTTTACTATAACTCCTATCTCCCATCTCTGACTGCTCCTGCTCCCCCTACGTACTCGCACACGCACCTACCCCTTCAGTCTGGGTTTCATTCCCCTATTATATCTCAACATCCCAGGCTGGTGAACTTGCTGGTATAAGGATTCTTTGATGTAGTCATTTTGTACAGCACCTAGCACATCAGGGATTCTATCTTTGATTGGGAATTCTGCTACATTGTAAATAACAGTGTAAGTCAAGCTAACCCAGTGTGGCTTTTTGACCCCACATAGAGGTATATGAGTCTGCTATTGCCTTTGAACTCTGGTTCTTTAGCTCAAGCAGTAGTTATCACCCTGCATTTTGTACATGTTGGTTCAATCAAAACATCTTTCTTACTTGCTATCATCCTGACCTTATCTTTTAGGAGGGGTCAGTGTGTTTCTGTTATCATTGGGGAATGTTTTTGTACCATGCTTAATATCGGCATGTTCTGGTACCACTTGATATCAGGATGTGTTTGCATGAGCACTCTGTGACTAGCACGTCTTAGGAATGTGTATTTCTGAACTATCAGCCCTGTTCTTGCCAAATTCTGTAAGCAGGTCCTGCCTCATACCAGACCTCTGATAGAAGGGCTTATGTCTCAGACTCTCTTCCTACTACAGTAGAGACTCATGCTTCGAGATCCAGAATATATGGGTCAGTCTCCACAGATGAGCCAAGCAGGGGCATTGTTACAAGTGATGGGTAGAGGTGGACAAAGATGCATACTGTGTTGGCTTCAGTTAAAATAATAATACTTAACCATATTGTTTTCATATTTAACACTGTGTGTTTTAAATATTCTTTATTACTTGTATAGCACCAATAGTGAGTTACTTTACAGAGTGGTCAGGAGACAAGGTCCGAGCACTTACTTAGGGGCTTATTGTCAAAAAAGGAAACAAACCATTGGGAATGGGATGTGAGGAAATGCTGTGTGCTTAAGTAGGGAACTTTGGGAAACCATGTTTTTATTGGGTCTAATTAGCGAACACTGCTGTGCAAGGAGAACTTTTTTGGGGAAGACTTGTTAGTTTTAAGGAAGACCTTGAAAAAAGAGGGTTGTGGCTAAAATGCGACCACTTTCTCATGTTCTTCACTCTGTGAGCTTATATGTAAAAGGACAAAGGCGCAGGTTTCCCCTCCAGCAATATGCCTGGAGCTAAGCAAACAGATTTGTATAATGATAGTTTTGTACAAACATAGGGCATGGCGAGTTTTGAATAAAGCTTGTTTGTCAAAGGTTTTATTTTCACTTGGCTCATTCAGGCGCAATTAGAGTCAAAGTGATCCTGAGACTATACCAGCAGGAGGAAAACAAGCAAAATGAGAGAAGTGCTTTTAACTGCAGGGTTCTAAAGTGTAAATGATAAATAATATATAGATTTGCATTACTTACCCGAGCCAACAGATGTGTCCACTGGGGATTTTATTGCTGAGAAATCATTTGTGCCTTCCGAAAGAGCTAGTGTAAAAGCTGTAAACTGAATGTGAAGCGTGCTGGTGAGTCCAGCAGAAAGAGAGAGCTGTGCTATTATGTATGCTGTACCAAACCTGAGCAGGAAGCAGAGGAGTCTAGGCTAGTGATTTGATGACATTGGAGGTGACATTACAGCAGGTACCTAGGTGACCTGTTTTTTAATTCTTTGGAACAGTCCAGCTCCAATAGCCCACCTGTAAAAATCAATTGAAGGGGCACCTGCTGTGGAGATGTTCGCAAGGAAAAGTAGGTGGTCAGAGGGATTTCTTATCATCCTCAAACTTTGTGCTGAGGAAGCAAGTGATCCTGAGAATTTAAGTGCTGTTCTGCCCTAAAGGAGCTCTCTAGAAATGCCACCATGGGATGCCACGTGGCTTCATGATCACATAACTCCCTCTAGTGGCTGGGCTTGTTACCCAGGGTTCTTTCAACCCAAAGCTCTTGGTAACTTTTACTCTGCGTGAGGTGGTGTCAGGAAATAAATCAGGGGAGACATGGCCATCCGACCGATAGATGGCTGGCACAAACAGGACAACACAAGAGTGCTTTCACTTAAAGCTAAACTTTACTTAGTCTCAAGCACTTATACACACGTCCGCAAGAGGTTAGTAAAACACCCCCAACCCTTGATAATTACCAAAGCTGAGCGTGGCTCTCGAGTGGCACAGCGGCAGCCTGTCTGCTGCTGGGAAACGCAAGATGCATCCGGAGAGAGAGAGTCCAGTCCTGAAGAGTCCCCCTACCTCAAACTTTTCGCCCTTATTTATACATTAGTAATAGAATGACATGTCCTTTAAAGCAAAACTTGTTAAGTAAGCGGTTTCAATGGTCAAGCAAGAGGTTCCTTCTGATTATTGATTAACCAGGTGTGGGTTTGAGGCCCCAATAGACATTCCTGGGGCACATCCTGCTCTTCTAAGATGCATATATCAGCAACTTCAACACAATTCTTATCAGGAAGGACGCAGGGTCACCCAAAACCTCCTTCCCCTCCTGCCTTGGTTAAGCTAAGCCTGCTGACTTGGCTGCTTTTAGTAATAAGCCATAGTGGTTTCAGGCACTTTACTGGTTTGCCAAAGTCTCCCCGTACAGGCTAAGCCTGCTACTTTCCCACAGTGGAGGGAATTGCTCTTTAGCTCACAAGGGAGAGGCTTGTCCCTTCCCCAGAACCTCCTCTCCATCCTCTTTCTCCCTCTCACAACTCTGAATAACTGGAGCCCCCCTGTCAAACAGGCCAACGGGCTCTGTTGGACCTGGCTCTGCCTGGTGGGAAGAAGAAATGGATTCTGGGGTGGATAAGGAGACTAGGGGAAACACCAGAGCTATTCTCAGATGGATGTTATGGTACCTGTAGAGCATGCCAGAGAAAGTGGCAGAGGGGCAAACAGAAATGGAGGACAGCAGAAGAGGGAACCACGAAGGAAGAGAGGTGTGACAGGAAAAATGGGACGGGGCTTCTGAGGGACGAAAAGCAGAGGCGCTGCAAGGTGGAATAGGAGAGGGAGGATGCTAGAAACAAGGGAACTGGAACAATGAAAAGGGATGTAAGGGCAAGGGCAGACTGTGAGGGCTGGACAAAGTGTAGGGAGGACGGGGTATGGTTGAGGCTATGATTCTTTTCATGGTGAATTTTAATAAATGTCACAGCAGAGGTGGGGGAAAACAAGGATGTCACAGAAAGCAGAGAGGAGCTGAGGTCCCTTAGGGAGCAGGGCTGGACAGTGAGTTTGCCCCACAGTGGGCTGAATTGAGCTGGGCCTGATTGCACACTCCAGGTATGGCGAACTGTCCCACGTGAGCTCAGCGTCACTCAGGTTTGGCACTTCCACCCCTCCCTAGGTGGAGAACCAGAGTGGTGGAGGACCAAATTTGACTGGTGGTGCGAGCTGCCCCACGTAGTCACAATCAAATCTGGCCCTCCATCTCCCATCTATGGAGGGACATACACATCAAACCTGAGCATCGCTATGACAGCCTGGGCTATGACAGCACCTGGAGGGAAAAAGAGCCAGTGGTGTGGGGGTCACAGGCTATTCAAATTCCCAATTACTGTGAACACCATGACCTCCGCGCCAAATTTGTAGCCTTAGGGATGATGGATGAAAGAGGGAGTGAAGACTGAGAGGAAAAACTGGGACGGAGAAGAGTCTGGAGTGGTTTTTGGGAAGGATAGACTAGGAGGGAGGAGAGAATGGATATTGAGAGAGGAGAAGCTGGTGGGGAAGAGTGAAGAGGTTTTTGGGAGGGTTCTTGAGGGCGTGATTAGTATCCAGCCTAGAGCATTCAGTGCTAGTGTCTGGTGGTGTGAGGGCAGGTCAAACTGGACTGGGAAATGCAGATGTAATATTACTGTTCCAGTGTTGTCTACTCTTACAATTTTATCAAGAGTCTCACAATATTTTGTCTCTTTTTGTAAACCCCCCAGCTCCTGAAGTTATGTAAAGTTCAGCTTTCATTTAAAACACCCTCCCCCCACACCCACACCCACACACAACTCTAGCCCTCGTGCTTGTGGAGAAAATCGTGAAAATGTGACCCAAGTGTAAGCTACAGGCTCAGACACTGGAAAGCAAAGAGAAAGAACCCAAAAATGTTTTATTCTGTAGAATTTCATGATTTTAGGCCAATCTCATAATTTTTGGAGGCCTCACTCGTGATTTTTGAATGCTTGGGGGTTTGCAGCACTGCTTTTCTTTTACTTACTTTTATTTGAATAGGGTTTAATATTTATAATCCATACTCTATTCCCCCCACATAGGCTACTGATCTTATTCTCCTTTCTATTAACTTGCATTCACTTTCCACATCCCAGCAAGTTACACTAGTTTATCATTTATGGCACTGCTGAATTTACCCCCATGACTTCCAGAGGAATTGAACTTGCTCTCACCAAGCTTCAGTCTGGGCCATTCTCCCTGAAGAATTATCATTATCTATGCATTGTTCCCTTCTTGCAATATTGTTCCTTATTCATATTGATATTTGTGATTGCTCGTCAGGGAACAAAACAGCTTTGGCTGAGTCTTTCGATTCAACTTACCCAATCAAGAGTTGACAGGTTTTTCAGAATCCCTCTGCCTGCAATCTCATCAATATTCATAAACATTATAACTTGGCACTTGCAAAAATGGAATTGCCTTTTCCCCCCTGCCCCCATAACCTTTGATAGAGTATATGGGTCTGTTTCATTCTAATTAAACTGATAAAGCACTTCTTACATGCTGATAGCAGTCTCTTATTGATTTTAAAAATTTTGGTCTGTCTTTTGTCAAACTATCACTTTCTGTTGTGTTAATTAAAATATGGTTTCATATTCTACAGCATAAATACTCAATTGGCTTAAAATGACTGAACTTTCACATCAAACAGGCCTAGAGACTCTATCGGGGAATCTGTATTTTGTCTTTAGCAGCCTTTAATCATTTTCATGGTGCCTCAGTGCAAATGATTTTCTAGACCTTGATTCAATAGTAATAATTTCAACAACAAGGATGAACAATTTTTTGGAAATTCATTAGCTCTTTACCTATAAATTAGATCTAATTTTTAGCTTTGAAGAGTACCCTCTACTGTAATTATTAGTTATTTATTACTTTCAAGAGTTCATTAATAGAATATGTTAAAATTCTAACCATTAGAGCTGGAGGCATAATGTAAAAACCACTTTCTGTCAATATTTGCGTGAATTTTCAAGTAGATTAGTTAGGGCTATACTCATGTCCATTGACTTCAGTAGAATCTGGACTTTTCTGAACATTTCTGCAATTGAGTTTTACTGCCACAAAGGTTTACAGAAAGCTAACATCAAGTTGTAGGTGGGTATGTCCACAGAAATCAAATTTATTATTTGTACAAGCAAGTATTCACACTGAAAATGTTTGCACAGGTAACCAGGGAATGTAAACAATAGCATGAAACTTACCTGACCAAGCATAACTAACTTACACAGTGCCAATAACAAATATTGTATATTCACAAAACTGCCCACAATAGATGCTGATTAAAAAGGGAGAAAAATACCACAGAAACTGTCAAATAATTTCAAATCACAAACAAATGTGAGGAGGTTGAGATCTGCTTGCAATTGTTCCATAAGCAGAAAGAGGCAACCGCCACTGAATAAGTTTGGTGTGAATTATTTGCTCAGCTCTTATAATACAAAGTCCCAATAGTGATTTGATATGTAAAGGTCCTGTCCTGCGATCTTTCCTCATGTGACTTCAGTAGACTACACGTGAACAAGGGATGAAGGGTTGAGGCCAATGATTGTAAGACACTTTGCTTTACAAGCTTGTTCTTGATTCCCTACTTTTCTCAACAGAACTCTTTCCATGGAAAATTTCTCATGTGAACTCTGCATTAGCTAGATTTTTTTTTTTTTTTTTTTGCTGTACCTACCCAGTCAGTGTAAAGTTAGTCTGACAGCTAATGTTGGAGTTTCAAGATTTTGAACGTGGTATGTTTTTCTAACTTTTTTTGTCCATTCCTAAATCAGAAATGATTCAATGTAGCAATTTATATTCTGTACTAATCCCTACCTCTGTCATTCCTACTAGAAATTTAAAGCAAATACTGATATTGACATTGGATTTGAGCTGATGGCATCACACATAACTTTGATGTTTTATGAGATAATCCTTCAGGAATTTTTCCTCTTATAGTCACCCTCTCCTTCCTGGTCTCGCCAGCCCCAAGTGGGGGCAACCAGAAATCTTTCCGAAATCTTTCTGTGTTCAAACACATCTACCTTCAGTGTGTCTCCACATTATTGGTATGTCCACACTGGAGTTGGAAGGTGTAAGTTCCAGCTCAAGGAGACATGCCTGTGACAGCTCTGATAGATCTAGCGTGCTAAAAAGAGCGTATGGCAACATAAGCAGTGGGAGGGACTAGCTGCCCTGATACGTTCCCATCTGAGATGCTAGGCAAGTACAAGGGCAGCTAGTATACGTCTACTTGAGCTGGAAATTACACATTACACAGCTCAGGTGTAGATGTACCTAAGACACTGTTCATGACACAAATGTATTGTGAGGGTTAATGGGCCAATCCTGCCCACCTTACTCTCATGAAGAACCTCACTGACTTTGATAACTCGGTGGGATATTGGCTTTTGTTAGGGCCCGACCCAAAGCCTACTGTAGTCATGGGAGTTTTTCCCTTGACGTAGATGGTCTTTTGATCAGGCCTCAAGTAAGGTGAGTGGATCAGGTCCAATACTTGTAAAGGCCTCTTTCAGGTGGAAAGAGACCTCCGCAGTGCAAAGTGCTTTAATGCAGGTCTTGGGCTGGTTAAAGGATGCTTCTGGGAAATAACATGAGACATTTCCCTCCACACCCATAGGCTTCACACTTCCCTTCTGCATAATCTTTGGCTTTAGCTGAGATGACTCCAACCCTTCACACTACTTGGATGCTGAAAGAAAGAGCTGAGTGGCTGAATAAGTTCCATTGCCTTTCCCTTTAAATGAACATAGATGGAAATCCAGCTCAGATTCCCCCCCATTCTGTTCTCCCTCCTGTCTGCCAACGATAACCACTTTCTCTGTCTTGCTGTTGATGCAATTTAGAATGACATGCAGCAGGAGCACGCAAGATTAATGAAAATGTTCTGTAGTTCCTTCAAGTCTTTCTGTTGAGATAATGTAATACAGATTGATTTGAACCAGTCGTTTAGCCCGTCCCATTTCCCAAGGGCATTGACAGATTTTTGTGTGATTGGGGATGGGTGGGGGGTGGGTCAGTCATATCACTGACCAAGCAAAGTGCCCTGTGCAAATCCTCTAATCCATTCCTGTCTTGGTTGTGTGTGTGTGTGTGTGTAATGCTGCTGGCCACTTAAAAACCCACAATTTTCTTGCCATGGCATTAGTTACTGAGTGATCTGCTGTATTTCCTATATTTGGAATAAGAAATACTACAATAAGTAACATGATTCCCCTTCTGCCCCCTTTGGTAGTAGCAGCCACCCTATGGACCTGATCCAATGCTCAAAGAAAAGTCTCTAATCTCGGTGACCATTGGCTCAGGCCCTATGTATGAATTTACTCCGCAATTCAGATTTTTGGATGATAGGATTTTTTTTTTTCAGTTGCACAAATGATTATGTGGAACAGCTGTCTGCATTTTTATCTCACTCCTGCTCTATATTTTCTAACGTCCTTGAAGCCTTTCTCTTTTGCAGATTCTTTATCCTCTGCAATCTTGATAGTGCTGTCATTGGTAGTGAATATATATATTTTTAATTTCTTTGCTGCTGCCACCTCTCTGCTTTGCTCTGCTTCTGAATGCCGCATGTGTATGCCTGGTGCTGTTGCTGCTGGAGTGGCCAACAGCTGCTTTTCTTGATGAGGTGTGTTGTTCTGAACCCAAGCAGCCTTATTTTCCATGTCTTAATTGCAATGTGAACCTTCCCATTTCATTAGCTTTGAGAGCCATTTCTTGTCTCCTTCAATACTCTTGTTTGTTCTTGGTGCTTGTAACCAAGAATATTTACAAATAGGCAGAAGCCAGGAAAGCGAGATATGGATGCAGATCTGAATTTACCCTAACCAGTAGTAGTCTTAATTTTAGTGATAGAGTAGTACATATGGGATTGGGACCCCATTGTGCTAGGCACTGTACATGGAGATAGTAAGGGACAGTCCCTGCCCCAAAGAGTTTCCAATAGATAAGACACACCAAGTGTCAGAGAGAGGAAATATTACCACCACAATTTTACAGGTCAGACACTGAAGTTCCAATTCACCAGGGACTAGTAGGACTGCTCCCACACTTAGTTAGTTAGGCACATGCTCAAATATCATGTGGTACTGGGGTCAGAAAGATTAAGTGACTTGCCTCTGTTATACACGAAGTCCACGGGAGAACTGGGAATTTAAGCTAGAT